AACTGGCTTGTAAAATTTAATCCTAGTAAGACCAAAATATTAATGTTTGGTTGTAAAGAAAATGAGGTATCTAATTTACATTTTAAGTTTGACAATCAAGAGATAATTCCATCTTCCACTCACTGTCATCTTGGACTTACGTTCTCAAATTCTGGTAAATGGACAAATCACATCGATAATATTATTAAAAAGACCTCAAAAGAAATTGCAGTTCTCCGTAAATTGAAATTATCATTGAATCGAGAATTTTTAACTAAGATGTATATTACATTTATTAGGCCACTTTTTGAATATGCATCAGAAGTATGGGATAACATTTCCGCAACTGACTGTGACAGACTGGAGAAACTACAATTAGAAGCTGCGCGAATTGTCACTGGCCTACCTATTTATGCTTCTCGCAATTCTCTTTATTATGAAACAGGGTGGGAAACACTAGCCTATAGACGGGAAAAAAGAAAGTTATGCTTAATGTATAAAATAAAACATGGTATCGCACCAGAATATTTATTAAATCTATTACCTCCTGATGTCTCACAAACTACCCATTATGATTTACGCAATTTCAACAATATTTCTATTCCTCAATGTAAAACAAACTTATTACAAAATTCATTCTTTCCATCTACAATATCACTATGGAATGCTTTGCCTATAGAGATTAGAAACATCGATACTGTGAATGCTTTCAAAAAAAGACTCTCTAAAAGTGAACCTCCCCCAAAATATTTTTCTTATGGTGATAAAAAAACAAACTCAATTTTAACAAGATTAAGACACAATGTAAGTATTCTTAAGTCTGATTTATTTAAAGTTAAACTTTCAGATAACACTCGGTGTTCATGTGGATATATATATGAAAATACTGAACACTTCTTCTTGTACTGTAAAAATTATGCCGAAATTAGAACGGAATTATTCCACATTATACAGAATAACAATGGAGCAATAGACCTTGACATTATCTTATTTGGTGACCCAGAATTGGGTCAACAAAATAATATCAATATTGTTAAAGCTGTGCATAAATATATTAAAAAATCAAAAAGATTTTAAGAATAACCAGCGTAACCATTTTGTATCCTTTATAATATATCCCCTCTTTATTTCTTCTTCCATGCACTCCCATTCCCTTCCTTTCTTATCTCTCTGCACCACTCTTCTTCTTCTTCCTCTTTTTTATATTATTGTATTTTTTCTTTTTGTTTGCTTGTACATCACGTGTATATATTCTTGTTATTTTTGTTTGTGTTGGAGAGGACAATCTAAGTTGGAATAACTTGTGTCCAATCCCATTGATTGTGTTCAATAAAATATGTTTAAATACAATCCCTTTTCTCTTTTGTTTTCTCATTAAAACTTAAGAAAAAATAAATGCCTTATAATCCGCTGTTAAATTATTTTGAATTTATCAGGATCGAATCATTAAGGAAATCAATTATTCATGTACATGTAAATCTACGTCGAATTATGTATAGTTGAATTTTAGAAAATATATCAATGTTCTCCATTATATCACTGTTTACATGTTCAGTGTACATGTACAAGTCCGCATCGCCGCATAAACAACAATGATCGATCCACAATACCATTACTGTATTGGAATATACAAGGGGCGGGGCTTATTGGCGGTGAGATGAAAGCGGGGTCCGCTTCACGCTTCAGTGCGTAAAGCGGTCCCAGGAAGCGAACGCCGGGTTCGCTCTAGCGGACCCAGAGCTGACCCCGAGCGAACGCGGAGCGAACCAGAAGCGCACCAAAGGCGCACCCAGAGCGATCCCAAAATTTCTAAAAGCGAACCCGAAGCGGACCCTGAGCGAACCCGGGAAGCGAACCCGGGGTCCGCTCCGGGTTCGCTCTGGTGTAAGGTTGTGTCCGGTCGGTACTGTAAGTATCTCCGGTACTTATTGGCTTAGAATCATCAATTTTTGTCAGTTGATGCCTCTTGGGTTTTCGGAGAATGTCGACCAAAATGTAGGTCATGGTGACCTACTTTTGTATATCTCAAGTATTTATTGGCTTAGAATTATCAAGCTTGGTCGGTTGATGCATCTTGGGTTTTCAGAGAGTGACGATCAAAAATAAGTTCACAGTGTCCTACTTTTGACATTTTTTTGGCTATATTTGAGTATCTCCGTATATCTACTTATTGACTTAGAATCATCAAACTTTCTCAGTTGATGCATCTTGGGTTTTCGGAGAATGTTGACTAAAAAGTAGTTCACGGTGACCTACTTTTGACATTTTATGGCTATATTTAAGTATATCCGGTACTTATTGGCTAAGAATCATCAAACTTTGTCAGTTGATGAGTCTTGGGTTTTCGGAGAGTGACGACCAAAAATTAGGTCACGGTGACCTACTTTTGAATATCTCAAGTATTTATTGGCTTAGAATTATCAAACTTGGACAGTTGATGCATCTTGGGTTTTCGGAGAGTGATGACCAAAAACTAGGCCACAATGACCTACTTTTGACATTTTATGGCTATATTTGAGTATCTTCGTTACTTATTGGCTTAGAATCATCAAACTTTTTCAGTTGATGCATCTTGGGTTTTCGGAGAATGTTGTCTAAAAAGTAGGTCACGGTGACCTATTTTTGACATTTTATGGCTTTATTTAAGTCGCTCTGGTACTTATCAGTTTAGAATCATCAAACTTTGTTAGTTGATGCCTCTTGGGATTTCAGAGAATGTCAACCAAAAAGTAGGTCACGATGACCTACTTTTGAATATCTCAGGTATTTATTTGCTTAGAATTATGAAACATAGTCAGCAGATGCATCTTGGAACTCTGAAAAATGTTCACTAAAATGTAGGTCACGATGACCTACATTCCACATTTTATGGCTATATTTAAGTATCTTAGGTATTTATTGGCTTAGAATAATAAAACTTTGTCAGTTGGTGCATTTTGGTTTTTCCAAGAATGTATACCAAAAGTAGGTCAAGGTGACCTTATTTTGATTACTAGTATCTCAAAAACTTATTGGCTTAGAATCTTCAATCTTAGTTTGTCTATTAATACATCTTGTGTCCTCAGAAAACTTCAATCTTAAAGCAGGTCACTGTGACCTATTCATGTTTTTATAGCTTTATTGAAATATCTTCAGTCCTAATTGGGTAGGAATCACCAAACTTTGTCATTTGATGCAACTTGGGTCTTAGGATACTTAGGGTTAGAGGCTTCAAATACAAGTGATAGGTTGCACAATTTATCTGAACAGCGATTCAAGGAGATGGAGGACCAATATGGTCGAGACATCTGCCCTGCGGAAAAACCCCACCAATATGAATTTCTGTTGGCGATGCCCCCCCCTACTCTATATTCAAAACCAATCTCTTCTATCGCCAAGGAATTACTGCTGCATTGGTCTTTTATGACCTGCACATCATCGCTAATTGATCTCAGCGCCTCCTTCGGATAGATCTTTTTGGCAATAACCCATAGCTTCTTACGGATCCTCTTTGAAAGTTTATGTGGCTCATCCAATTCATAAACAGCACATCCTCCTGTAAGATTGACTGGTATTTCCTTGGCCGTGTGTCAAGGGTGGTAAAGACATCTAAATCACCAGTAAAGGGGTCAGGCAAATGTCCTGGATGCCAATGGCATTCAAAAACCACAGTCTGGTCTGAATCCTTCCTAGAAGAAATAGTAGACCCACTGGGTCTCTGAGACGCAGCGGCAGCGGGTACCTCCACTTTAGCCTGTCTCCCCTCACTGTCCAACCGAACTACCTCACTCTTGACCAGCTTGCCTTCCCACGACTCCGCAATGTCGTACTTCTCAATATCCTCTGGCCTGGCATCAGCTGCATCTCTGGTGGGACCAGTAACTTGAGAGGCATCTTCCTCCTCAGAATCGCGTAACGTAATGGAAACCATCTCTGCCCAGTCTGTGTTCTCCGCACCTTGCGGACTCTGTTTAGTCAGGCCCTATGGCTTGTCTGGATCGCCCAGCTCTAACAATGAGTCTTTGTCATCGAACACAAACACATCAACTGTCTCCTTCATAATTGGATCTAAAAATGAATATATTAACAAAATATAAATAAATAATTCTCCAAGTTCTCTCGGCTACTTAAAAAAGAACCTTAAAAAACTTATGGTTAACAAACCCCTAACTATTCACAATAATTTTTCTTTCTTACTTTTTCTCATTTCCATTTATGGGAGAGCTCTCAGGGCAAATATACTGAGGCATACTCTGCGCATCATCCCGCTGAAATTCCGACGCATTCGGGATGGAACCAATCTTTACAAAAATCACATTGAACCATCATCCCCTTAGGATTCTGCTTTTTGCACAGACAATACGACTTTTTACTACGGTTTTGCTTTCTGTGTTCAACATGTTCAGACACAACTGACTCACCAGTTCCAATTCTAGACCTAGTACGTGCCCTAGTACCCATATACAGACAACTTTGAGGTATTTCCTCTTTTTCCACTGCTGCACTGTCCTTGACAGTTGGATGGTTGCCTACCAAATCTGACTCACCTTCATTTTCCAGCTGGTTATAACTGTTTACCTCACCTTTCAACTAATCTCTGAACTCTAACCATTTAGGTGATTTCCGTGCTTCACACTTTTTCAGTTTGTCATAATGCATGACCTTAATCTCACAACGTTACTTTACAGCATACATGGTATCAGACTTAGGCTGAACTATAATTCCTGGACCCACCCATATTGACTTGACCTTCTTACCCGCATTGCAGCGCCAATAAACAAGGTCACCAATCTTGAACTTACATGTATCTGCGCTCACTCTTGGGTCATGTGTCCTTTTCATTGACTTCTGGGCAGATTTTAATATTTTCTTGCAAGGCCAAGTGCTTTTAGCACTATTCTGCCCTAGATCCCGCACGTACTTATATACCTGACCTTCCTCCCCATTAAAAAAAAAAACTCGGTAGGAGGTGGGTTGTATATCAATGTTGCTGGGATGTTGAACTCCCTGCCCATCATAAGTCTGTTTGGTGTATAACCAGTATGGCGGTACCCAAATATTGATCCCAGCTCTTAGGTTGATCATCCATGTAACAAGGCACAATATCCATGAGTGTGCGATTGTAACGTTCAACCTGGCCATTTTCAGATGTTTTGTGTATTCTCAAGGTTTCACAAATTCTACGAAACAACTCAATCTAAAAGTTCCTTCCCTGGTCAGTAAATATTTCGTACGGGTATCCAAACCGAGAGAAAAAAAAAACATTTATTACAGCTCTAGCAGTAACTTCCGCTGTCTGCGAAGGCAATGGTACGCACTCCACTCATTTGGTAAAGCTGTCTACTAGCATCATTATATATTAATTTCCCTGTTCTGTTTGAGGCAAAAGTCAAAGAAAAAACAAGATTGACTTTTTCTATGGGACTACCTGCTTGATAGCTCTTTAAAGTAGCTCTTTTATTTTTACAACAGATGTCGCACCTCAGCACAAACTGTTTCATATCTGCAGCCATCCGCCACCAATAGAACTTAGTCTTCAACCTCTCAAAAGAAAGTTAAATACCATAATGTCCCGAAGATAGTATATCGTGGCATATGTATAGAATCTCCTCTCGGTTTTCTATTGGAACCAAACGTCTTGTACCATCTTGCTGTTTCTGGTTTTCGCCAAACTACAGTGAACATGTATCGATCCTCGCATAAACAACAGAGTGGTCCCAAAATTTCTGAAAATTAGCCCGAAGCGGACCCCGAGCGAACCCGGGGTCTCGTGTCGCACTACCTGCTCAATGACCCTTACTGCCGCGCATAGGCCAAAGTTTGTAGCTCTCCACCGGCAAGTGGTTGCGCCTCAATGTTAGTGAAATATACTCGAGAGGGATGTTAAACAATAATCAATTAATCAATTAATCTGTTCTTCATATAGGTACCAAAATAAATAATGACTGTAAGGACCTACATGGAAACGGATATAAACTGTCAGGTGTTTATGAAATAGTTCCTTTCTGTGATGAGAGTCAGGTCAGCGTGTACTGTGACATGGAGACAGAGGGCGGAGGGTGGACAGTAAGATCTCTCTCTCACTCTTTTCTCTCTCTCTTCCTTTGTCTATTTTTTTTCTATCTCTATCTTTATCTTTTTTCTTTATATAGCACATTTTGAATGTCTTTGAAAAGATAAATTTAATATTTAAAGATTGATGAGGTTATGAACTACGACACTTCATGTCGGTCTGAAGTATTGTAGTTCATATACCTCATGAATCTTCAAAAATTGAATTCGTTTCAAATATTTACATCATTTTCCTTACAAGTTGCCATAAGTTAGGCCAATCAACTGCCAGTTTTAAAGGAAAACAGATTGCAACATATAGTTTGACAAGAGGAACGGTATTATGACGTAACAATGGCTAATCAATTGTAGTTCCTGATAAGATGTGCAAATGTCTATTTATCTTAAAGAAAAAAATATCCGAATATTTAAACATTTTTTAAGAGCCAGTCCGCAAGAAAACCATGCAAAATTAAAAAAAATCATCCAAATGGCAGGTCGCAACTTGGGAGTTTTTAATGGCTTAAAATTTTCTACATAAAGGTAGAAGTCAGAATATCCACACAAATATGTCGAACCCTGCATCTATTTTTAGTAACAGCTCATTTGCATATTCGTCGAAAATGACACAAAATTTAATGGAAAATCTATACAAATTGATCAACTCAAAAAGTTACCTTTTGTCATCAGTGTATTTTCAAATTTTGTTTTATTTTCAATGTAATGGTCAAATTTACACAAATAATGAGGAAAAACTTAATTCAAGTCAATATTTTATTTTTAACACATCTATGTATAGATCATTAATCAATGAGTATGGTTTTTTAGTCATTATTTGATGCTCATTTCCTCTCAAGATTAAGGTTGAAATAAAAATAAATTAATTGTTTCTTTAAGAATGATATAAGGTCTATTTTGTATTGAAATATTGAGCTTGGGAAATGATATCTACATGTTGTAAATTAGCTTTGAAATACCATACGTTGCTACAATTTCATATATTTTAAATAACAGTCTATTACCATATTTATGGATTATTTCTAAGATATTTAAATGAAAAAGAAAAGATTCTTAATCATATATATTTTTTAGAATAGGAATAACTGATTTGGATATTTCATATAACTTTCATATGCTTAATTTAGGTTTTTGTTACCAATTTGCTGGAGTTAAATTGTTATCTCCCCTTGTTGGAACTCTTTTGTGTCATTGGGTAAAAAGTGACAGGTATGTCAATATTAAAGAAGAAAGTCATGTATGAACATTCTTTCTTCACCTAGGGAGTTGTTGCGGAGCATTACCGTAAATCTGGATTTTTTTTTTAGCAAATTTGCGAGTTCATTGCATTCGCAAAATTATTTTTCTTAAAAATAATTCAACAATAAGAAACTGTAAACAAAGTAGTAATCATTTACAAAATTTTGAAACGTAAAATTTAATCAAAAGCATTTTGACCCAGATTTGCAAAATAAAATCGACGTAAAAATTTCAAGATTTACGGTATTGCACTATGAAAGAGGGAAAACCTATTTTACGTTATTATGTTTTAAAAAAGAAACAATAATTTAGCTTGAATAAACAAATAGCATGTCCATAGGAAGCTATTTCAGCGTGGTGGAGGGGGGACAACCTACATTATCAACTGCCAAGAATTTTAAAGAAAGTAAAAAAAAATTAAAGGTCATCAGATTTTTTTTTTAAATTTGTGGAACAAGCATATACATCAGGGACCTATATACTAAGTATAGCTAGTATATAAATCCCTGTATATATGTAGTAGCTATGTTTTCTGTAGGTTTCTGTCTTCGAGGAATCAACATGTATTTCGTGGTAGGCCTCATTAACAGGTACATTTTTTCCCTAACAAGTACATTGAATAGAAAATTAAATCATATAATAACAGATATTTTATGTCAAAATACTCGTACATTTGATATTTTGTTAAAGGGACCTGGCCCCGTTCAAGTTCCAGATCATTTTATTCACTCAATCCATTTCAGGTACATAAGGACAATGAAGAATATACTCAACATAAATTCAAACATAAAACATAAAAAACATCTGTACATGTATGACAAATTGACCCCAGGTCCGCTCTCTAGGTCCGCTTCGGGTTCGGAAATCCGGAGCACACCCAAAGCGCACCCCGAGCGAACCCGAAGCGGACCTAGAGAGCGAACCCTAATACATTTATTATGCTGTTTTTTTTTTTATTTCTAAACAATTGGCAAAATGCCAGTCCTAATATTAGGGGTGATTTTTGACAATGTAGTTAAAATTAATTTTCATTTTAATATTTTTCAATCATAATTATTATTTCAACGAAAATTGTTACACGTTTCAATATTTACAACAATTGTTTATAATTTAAAGTACTTTATTTGACTTTGTTCCCCATTTGAGTTTCAGCAGTTTTTCGTAAATTGGCAATTTGTAAGTCCCCATATCTCAGTTATTCATTATTTGCAAAGGTCAGTATTTTGCAAATACAATGTTAAGAGTAATATTTGTTCAATAAAACAAAAAAAAAATAGATAATTTCAAATATTGGTTTGGAAGATTTGGGTCATTAAATTTGTTATACCTATGGCAATTCCTGAAAATTGGCATCACGCCAATTTTCAAGAGTTGTCTGCCCTTTGAGATATTGCATATTTGATTATAATAAATGTCAATTTTGAAAGAACATAGTCTTATGTTACTTCAAAATACCGTAGTGGAAATGCAAGTTTAATTTTGAATAAAATAAATCAAAACTGAATTATATCATTTTATTGAATTTTTAGCGCGTTTGCACTTAAATGTGCAAAAAGGAGGTGGTGCTGCCTTAGGCTGTCATGTTAAATAATAGGAATTGTTTTGGTCATTTTTGAATAACATTTTGTAAAGACTAACTACCCACCAAATTTCATTAAGATATGACAACCTTCGATTTATAACAGTTCTGAATGGTTTTCTCGCGGAATGACCCTTAAATGAATAAAATATTTAAAAGATTGTTTGCAGTACAACCTTCCTAACAAAAAAAACTTTATTTTATTTCATTAATTATTTTCTCTAATTCCTTATTCTCTAGGCAATCCAGAGGCGTTCGAGTGGATCCGTGAGTTTTGATAGAAGTTGGTGGGATTATAAGAAAGGATTCGGGAATGCTAATGACTCCTACTGGATTGGTAATTTAAATACACGCAGCTAGGTTAAGCCCACCCCCCTCCCCCCAATTTGAGATAAACCTTAAAATATTCCGAAAAAAAATCAACATAATGTTGATATTTTTTTACAAGCATGAGTTTTAATATGATGGGAACTATATAAGGACATGTTTAAAATTAGAAAAAAATATGTACGGATACAAAGATCGTAAAAGTTCAACGATATACGGATAATTGTTCACTATGAAATTTATTGTCTTTTCTTAAAGACAAATTTCTTAACCCGAAAAGTGCTGGGAGCAACTTCTCCATGCACGGGAAATATATAAAATTTAGCAGACTTTTGATAAACTATGTGCATTTACACTATATGCTTTGAAGAAATGTAAAACTACGGAAAAACTCAACAGCGCACAACTTCCTCCCAGCACTTTTCAAAATAGTAGGGGCAATAGCTACATGTGTACAAAATATTATGATTTATAATCAAGCGGATATCGTTGAACTTTTGACATTTTGGAGGGGTTGCACAAGTGATTGTAGTACGTTTCTGTATAAAAATGCATGACTGCGGCTTTATAAGAGACCTTATAGTTATCAATTAAATAAGACTGTGAACTATTAATAATAATATATAAAATTATGAATTTCTATAACGCCCTATATAATAAAAATACCACTCAAAGGCGCTTTACAAAGCATGTACATAAAACATTGCATATATAATTATCACTTAAAAAAATAAAATTATTTTTATATTGAGAATGTCTTGTTAAAAAATGATGAAAACAAAAATACAGTTGCAATAAATTAAAAATTTAATGGTTAAAAAAAATCACTAGATAGATTTACTACATCTAAAAAGTTAATAAAAAGCTAATTTATAAAAATGGGTTTTTAGTTGTCTTTTAAAACACTCGAATGATTTGTCTTGTCGAATGTGCACCGGGAGACTGTTCCATAAATGGGCCGCAGAATAGTAAAAATTGATAATTATTGATAAATGCATTCATAAAAATGAATCAATTATAGACAGATCACGCTTATTTAGATTTAGTTTTCATATTTTCAGTTCAGCTAATAGTTTTATCTGCGTCTCAAGTACAGAGAAACTGCGTGTCAAACTAGCCTATGACGTCATGCCTGTTACTACAGCGAGATCAAGTTGCTTTGATTTTATCTTTCGAATAGTGTTGTAATGATAAGTTACACATTGATTAATATTTACAACTATCATGAGAAATCAAAGTAATCTAAGAGTATATGAAAAAGAAAATTATAGTGTATTATTGTACAATTTCACCGTGATTTTATAATCGAATTCCCGAGCTCTTTTTCATTTGAAGTTATTAAAACTTGAAGTTTTGGGCGAGTTGATTGACACATCCTTGCACTTTCACAAATTTTAATCTTATTCGTAATCTTTTTGAAAAGTGGCAATCCTGTGGTGTATCAATGAGAAATATTAAAACTTCTATCCAGAAAAATATTTTTATTCCGAGTACAAATGTTAGAAAGTAAAACTCCCTCACAAGTATCGTCATTCCTAACTAAGGGTTGCTTACAGAGTTTAGCAAATCGAGCACACTCTTGTGTTATGTACACAGTTTTTGTAAACTGTTATTGAGTTCTGGAGAAACTGTCGAGTTCAGTTATTGTTTTTATTTAGAATTCATTGGGTGCGTTCAATCGTCACAGTCTGCTAACCACAACTGCAGTAGTAGTAGTAGTAGTAGTATTTATTTGGTATCATGTCATTATACATAAAACAAATGCACATAATTATACATGATCTTATAAAAGAAGGAGGTTGGATTATCATGATGTTATAAATACATAATTTAACATGACTAGATAGATACCAGGATAACCCATTAAAGCACGAGAGCTTATTTCCAATGGGGTACTATCTTAAATAACTTTAAAAAAATAAATAACAATACATTGTAATGAATATTCTATCATTATAGCACTATGATACTTTTAGCACAATAATTTTAGCATACACATCTAAATTAGGTTTAAGTATGACAACATTGACATTATCAATAAAATATAAAATACATTTTATAAACTAGTATTGAAACATATCACTTTCATGTTCTAAAATGCCTTTTTGTAAGATAAAACTCTTTACTTGTTTATTAAAAGTACTCTTTCCTTTTGTACACTTAAAAGAGGCTGGTAAAAATTCCAGTCCTTTATGCCATTATAATAAAAAGTGTCTGTTTGACATGTTTTCACATGAGGTATAAAAAAATCTTCATTAGTGGATGCCCTTGTGTTGCGTGAAGACACAGCTGATCTTAGAGTAAAATTTTCTGATAAGTAAGATGGTGCATAGCCATGGTATATATTATAAACATGGTTTAATCTGAGTTGTCTTACCCGATCTTCTACATTCAACAAATTCAATGTACTAAGAACTTTGTAGTTTATGGTATGCAAAGGGGATAGATTAAGTATAAATCTCACCATTTTGTTTTGGCATATTTGTAATTTCTTTTTAAGGCTCTTTGATAAACCTGCATACCATGCACAGCTGGCATAATCTAAGTGACATTGTACAAGAGCAGAGCATAATAGCATTTTACTTCTTATATCTAAAAAACAAGCTTGTCTGTATAAAAAACGCAACCTTTTGTTAACTTTTTTAACAATGGAATCAATTATGAATTCTCCACTCAAAAATTGATCAATAAAAATTCCTAAGTATTTAACTTTTTCCATTGAATGAATTGTATGACCATTGCACTCTATGTGAAAATCTTGAACCTTTGAAAGTTTCTTTCTTGATCCAAATAAAATACATTCAGTTTTTCCCAAGTGTAGTGATAACTTGTTTACCAGTTTGAACATTGTTTTCAAACAGTACTAAGTTTTTCTGAAATATAATCTACATTTTTATGTGAAAATAAAATTGCACTATCATCTGCATATAAAATAAGTTTGCAGTCAGGATCCAAACTAGAAGCCATATCATTGACATAAGATTAAAAATAGTAGAGGGCCTAGAATACTGCCTTGAGGTACCCCACATTTTACTACATCTGGGTCAGACATAACACTTTCTAATTGTACAAATTGCTTTCTATTTGACAAGTAAGATCTAAACCAGTCAGTATTTCTTAATCCAATGGCATTAAGTTTTCTTCATAAAATTTCATGATCAAGGCCTTTTGAAGGTCGAGCATGACCATACCTGTATATAAACCTTTTGATGTATTTCCTTTTATAAAATCCCGTAAATGTATTAAACAAGTTTCAGTAGAAAAATGTCCCCTAAAACCAGACTGAAATTCGTACAAAATTTTATAATGATCTAAAAATTTAACAAGTTGTGAATGAACAGCTCTCTCTAAAACCTTGGAAACAATACTCAAAGTACTAACAGGTCTGTAATTACCAACCTCAAGTGAACTACCTTTTTTATACAGAGGTTTGATTCTAGCTCTTTTCATATCATCAGGAACAATACCAGAAGTGATAGACAGATTTATAATATATGTAATAGGTATTTTCAAAAGATTTGCTCCATCTCTAACAAATCTAGCTGGGATCTCATCCAGACCTGTACTTTTGTTGGGATTGAGTTTCAAAAGCTCTTTATAAATAAAGTCCTCATGAACAGTTTTGAGTGTAAAATTACAATTTTCAACTTTTTTCTTCTGGTAAAACGATAAAAAGTTTACTGAGTTTGTATTAAAAATATTTATACACTTTGGTAATTTCAGCACCAGCGTTGAAGCAACATTTGTAAAAAAAAAAATTATTAAAATAATTACAAACGATTTTGGGATCATGGCATACTTTATCCTCTATATTTAAAGAAATCTTAATATCTTGTTTTTGTTTATTCTTGAAACAAATATCCTTTAGGTGTTGCCAGAGTTTTATTGGATTGTCCTTATCCTCCTCAATTTTGCTGGGAAAATAATCAGACCTTGCTTTTTTTAATTTCTCTTTGAGTCTTATTTCTTAATTCGCAAAAAAGTTTATAATGTTCTTTTTGTCCTGATTTTCGGTGTTGGTACAGGGCCTGGTCCCTTTCACTGATAAGGTCCAAAGTTTGTTGAGTGATCCACGGCTCGGTGCGTTGCTTAAGCCTGACTTCTTTTATGGGAGCAATTTCATCTAGAACTTTATTAAAAAATTTTTGAAACTTTTCCACGATTCATTCACACAGTTTGAAGAACATTGATTCCATTCTTCTTGTATTAATTTTTCTTGTAGAATTTCTGGACTGTAGTTTTTTAAGTGATCTCAATTTTACAGTAATATGATGTTTGAAGTGTCCTTTTGATATGCGTCGAGAACAGTAAATAATGGAATGGTCGCTGAGTCTCGTAGATATTGTGTCGAACTGCGTTAGGTTTTCTTTTCTGTTTGTTAAAATGTGGTCAATTGTTGCACTTGTTACATCTGTTATTCTCGTAGGTTTATCTATTATCTGCTGTAGATCAATGTTGTTCAAGATTTGGACATATGCTTTGTACAAAGGATGTTCTGGCTTAAAATCAATATTAAAATCACCAAAAATATATGTTTCATATTCGGCTCTCAAAGATTGGAGACTGTTTTCAAAATGTTCCAAAAAGTCAGATTGATTTGGTGGCCTATAATAGATTCCAATTTGGATAGGTTTTGTTTTTGGCAAGAATATGTTGATGAAGATTGCTTCTAAGTTGTTTTGGTCAGGTAGTCGAGAAAAAGCATATTTATTTAATACGTAAAGACAAACTCCCCCTCCGGTTCGACACCGATCTCTCCTAAGAATGGAGTAACTATCTCTGTTAATCTCACTGTCCAAAACCGATTCATCTAGCCATGTTTCTGTGACTCCTATCACTGCTGGTTTAGATTTAGATGCTAAAAGTCGAAGTTTAGATATTTTTGGCAATAACTATCTGACATTAAGATGAATAAAGTGCATTCCTTTTCTGTTTAAAACATTCAAAGTGCACGTCATTATCTTCGTTGTTGATTTTTGTTTCATAATGTTTAAGTCTTGGATTAACTTCTATTCCTCCTTTCCATAAAACGATTTTCTATGTGTGGATAATCTAGGTTTGTTGAAGTTATTTGTTTCAAGTCTGAACCATATGAAAATAACAAGTTTTTCATCAGGCTGACTCTTGAATGTTACACTAAAATCGAAATGTTCACCTGGATTATAGGTACTGTTTCGAACTGTGTCTTTGACATTTTTGAAAAAAAATGGACAAGTTTGTTGTTTTTTTCTAGACGAAAGTCACTAATTGACTGATGCTTGGGTTCCTGAGTTTGCAGGAGTACTACTGGTATGACGTATTAACAGATTCCGAAGCGCCATATTTGTTTATGTTGACTACAATCCGGAAGTAGGTCGTTCTTGGGTAGACAACTCTTGCTTTTGTATATTTTCTTGTAGAAAATAAGCTACTTCAAAAAATTGAGTCTTTACCTATCTGGCCCTTTGCTGGTTCGTAAATAACCTATATGGGCTATCACAGCTGCAGTCTCAAGCTCTTTGTATTCAGTATATCGCTGGTTGTTTTGATTTTAGCTGGACTGTTTACGGAGGCCGTCTCTCCCGCGCATCGGGTTCGGGATGATGACTGCACGGACTGACAATATATTGTGTGCTTGTTTTGCTTTCGAATATGTCTACTCAGATTTTTATGGATTATATTATCAATATTTTTCATTTATACGCTCGAGATTGCCACTTTTCTTGAGGATTAAGAATAAAATAAATTTGTGAAAGTGCAAGGATGTGTCAATCAAATCCGCCAAAAAATTTGAAATTTTAATACTTTTTATATGAAACAAGATTTTTAATTAATTATGTGTGAAATGCTATTAAAATATATAAGTCGTAATATTATAGATAAGGTAATGACTTCAAATCTTTGTCCAAGTACCTTTAAGCTACTGTTTGAAGTTAAAGGTACATTTAAATCTGGAAGTTCCCATGAATCCCAAGGAATAAAAATGAGTGGATTGTATGGATACAGATGATTCATCTGGTTGTCAAGGGGATGTGTCCCCATGCCAAACCAGGTTATTAAGAAATAATTTGCGTTCCTTTTTGGTAATTAACCAATGAGAGACTAGAATACAAGCAAAATTAAATTATTACCATTTTACCTATTTTAAAACAATGTAATGTCTTATGTTTTTTGAAGATGTGGTTATTCTTTTAATAATAAAGAATTTCAATTAGTACTTTTTTTATTTCAGTTCGAACAAACATTATCACCATGCATGTTACAAGTATATATAATGATTTCCTTACAGTACTTTGAAACATGTACGATATTGTTATAATGTAATTTCTTTATACATTATATATTGCATTATGAGAAAACTATAATAAAATATTTACATTCAGTGTAATTTTCCTTATGAAATCCATTAGAAATCCACGACATTCAAATTTCTATAACACACGCGAAACCTTGTTACTGCATGCTAGTATACTTTAGGAACACCAACATGTAAAATGTTTAACTTTGATTTAAAGAACCACGTACTCTAACTCCTGATTCCCGCTTACATTTTGCACCCTTTAAATTCAATTTTAATGGCAATTTGGCCATTAAATCTTGGTTTAGTACAAAGAACAGTTCTATGGTAATTAATTAATCATTTTAATTCCTGCTCTAGCTAGTAAATGGTCAATAATTTCAGCTCTTAAAAAGGGGGGGGGGGGGGGTAGACGAAATTTTCTAGTGAAATCGAACTTTCAAGAATTACTATATTTTGAAAAAGTCTTAAATATGATTTAATGTTTTTCATATCTTTTCTTATGCTGTACACAAAAAAATAGAACATATATAAATTATCAAATTACAATTATTTAGTTGTAAATAGCTTTAGAATTGGTAAAAAATCAACATTTTTTATGATTTTTGTCTATGAACATATGTTCCCCCTCCCCGTGAAACACATAAAGCTTCGGCATAAATTTGTAAAATGACTATATTACCTGTAAAAAGGAATTTTATTTTCATCGGGGGAAAAGATGTTTTAAAAATATTTTCCGTTTTCCGTTGATTTCTATAGTGAAATACTCAAGTTTTACCATAATTATAGAGCTATCTTTCTTTGGTATCCCAAAAAAGTAACGTTTTTTGAAAATTCATATAAATATCTATAACAATTTTGAAAATCATTCAAATATGTTAATTTTTTAAAATTGACTTAGAGCTAGGCGGGAGAACAATACTATCGTTCCTGGTTCTTATCATACCGCGCTAACGCGCGGTATTCATTTTTAAGGCACAACCAGGTGTGTTATAAGACCGAAGACATCCAAAAATATGAATTCAATGCTTAAATGCTAAAATAAACATACTTTGCTTTATAAATGCTTTAAACACGATGATAATATATTGAAGGTAATGACGTAATACATAAGCTTACCAAGGGAAGGAACTCCTCCCTCTATGTCTCCATCACACTGACGAATGGGACAAAGCTCTATGAATTATACAACCAGTTCTCTGTCGCTGATGAATCCAAAAACTACAGACTTTTTCTTGGAGGACCAGCTACCGGGACCCTAGGTAGGTACAAGAAATCGAACGTGTGAATGACGATCAATAACAGAGAGAGAGAGAGAGAGAGAGAGAGAGAGAGAGAGAGGTAAACAAATACCGTCTCTTTCTCTTGGGAGCTGTTGTGAGGATACATGTAGTATAGGAAAGAAATGTGTGACTGTCGATGATGCACAATTTAATTTTTTGAATAAAGAGTACATGTAGTATGAGCAAATCGGTTTGAAAATTGATAAACGATATATTTAACCCTTTCTCTTCCGGCGCATTTTACGTGATTTTGGAGGCCTTTTGACATGGCATTATTAAATTATTTCTAAATTTTTTATCAAAGGGGAAAGCTAGGCATAATGCATACCATTTTGTAGGAAATTTCTTACAGATGATATTTTATGATTGTTTAGATACTCAACCACTGACCTTATTAGTAAAAATTGAGGTCAAAGGTCAATTAAGTGCAACATTTCATGGGAATTTTTGATACTTTTTCATCTTTAAGCTAAATATTAAGTATGATGCATGTTGAAATAGGAAATTTGGGATATACCCACAAAAGAGCATTATACTGTACTACATGAAACATATAAACTTTTTTTTCAATTCTGCATATAACTACTTAAAAGGGGTTGCTTAGCAACGCAGAATTCTTTAATTTTCGGGCAAAAATTTTCATTTTTTACTCATCCTAGACAAATTTATGCATCCCAGCACATATAAAAGTTAGATGTGAGGTCATAAAATTACAAGGGACATAAAACAGATAAATTGGCTTAAAGTTTGACCTCATTAGAACTATTTTTAGGTGGTCAAAGGTCAAATAAGTACAAAAGTTTCATAAATTTTTTTCAACACTTTTCAATATTCTTGCCATAATTTTACACAATGGATGCTGAAATGGAAAATTCTGAATATACTCTCAAGAAGGGATCAGAACTGCAATATCCATGTATCATTCTAGTTCAAATATCTGTTTAATGACCTTTAAGTGGTTGCTAAGCAACATCATTTTAAAGTTTTTGGCTATATACATGTTTGTTATTTCACATTCTGGACACATTCTAGACACTTTTTGTATATTTCATCATATTGTTTGTAAGATATGGGCCATAAAGATGAAAGAACATTTTTGTATTAAAAAATGACCTTGACACTCTTGTTCTTCAGGGGATCAAGGTCATATCAGTACAGAATTCTGCTTTAAACTGTAAGTAAATATCAATTTTGAAATGCTTCAAACATGGATAAATCATCTAATAGTTGACGTAATAAAAATGGCGAACAACAAAATTTGCAAGCAAAGAATTCTGGTCTTCTTACAAAGCCGTAGCAAAACATGTATACTATCTTTTTGTTAAACAAGAAATCCATTCTCTTGATGCCATTAAAAATAATCTTTATTTTCAAGGATTTAATCAAACAAGAAAAAAAAACTAAATGATTTCATTACAAGATTTTTCTGGTAAAACAGAGCTTAAGGGGTACAATAAAGACTTGACATGTTATCTTGGAGGGAAATAATAATAATAGATAGCATTGGCAATATTTAACGCAAAACTGTTCAGGCAATAAGTTGAAAATTTGACGCTTATATCCAAATATACAAATCCAGAAATATTGCAAGATGAATTCCAAATCAGACTGAAATCTTCAACAAAATGTTGAAGAGCACTTTTACTTTGTGTCCGCCATTCTTTTATCAACTGTCATTTCTCTGTAAGACTGGAGGAAATTCTTTGACTTGTCCAAGACATTATTATTTGCTGCCAAGCACAAGTGATCAGCTTCTATCCTGTAAAAGATTTAAGTATTTTGAAACAGATACATGTCATTGTGTATATAAATTTATATTTATAAATAAAATTAAGAATGCTAAAATTACTACATTTATTTGATTTTCCTTTTAAAATTAGAATTGTATTTATTATGTGATCAAAGTAGTTAAATGATATTGTTAAGTCAATGTATCAGGACTGATAATTCAACAACCTTGTAGTAAACCATCATGGTAAAATTACTGAACTAAAACAAATAGCATATATGGCAATCTGACTAAAGCCAGACCTCTGTTTACGCTATCGCAACATGTAAAAAAAATCTGGCATTAGATTGCTACGAAAGCCAGGAAGGGACACGTAAATTTTTCAAAAAAGTAAAAAATGATATGGAATCAAATTAGACAATCCAATCCCACGTATTACTAAATTGTTCCCTCGATTTATAATACGAGATCTCGAATTACACAATCCGATCTTAAGGATTACTAATTCGCCCCCTTGATTCATAATTTGAGATCTCGAATTACATACCGGTAATTTGTTTTCACAGATTGATAATTCAACATCTCGATTTGTTACAACGTCGGTCTTATGATTCTGGAAATCTGTGCTCTTGAATTTCATTACATATATGTACAGATACATCCAACCATTTTAATCAATAAGAGCGTTCTATTTATTTTGTTTCAGCAACCGGTCGTTTCCAACCTCTTTCATAACTAACATGACTAATTCAATGTATATTTATTTTATAAATATTATGATTACACAGGACCCATATTCACTTTTACTATCTAGGACTTTCAATTATTCTAATATACAAGTAACACAAAAACCTCTAAGATTTTTTGTTGTACAAATATCAGTACTGGCACATGGATTTGAAAATGTTCATGTATTTTTCTCATTTTGGACCGTAATATGTAATAAAAGTTAGGATGTAAAATACTACAATATTCTATTTTTTAAACATGTATTACCATATCCGATATGTACAGATAAATAATTTAAACGAAATCATGGGAAGGGTTTACTTTGCGAGGGAATGAATCATTTAAACTAAGAGAATGAATTATACAATCTGAGATAACGGATTGTGTAATTTGAGGGAACGAATTGATAATCTGTGAGAATGAATTGGCAATTTGTTATAACAGATTGTCAATCCGAGAGAACGGATTGTATAAATCAAGAACTCTGTTTACTTTTATAAATTTTAAAAATTCTATGTCCCTTCATGGCTTTCATAGATTTCATACCTGCATGGCTGCCAGGGTTGTAAAAAGAAAGGAGACAATAGACTGCAATGTTACTTCAGGGCAAAATTCCTGGGGCAAGGCTGTTCGTGAGCATGGGAGTGTTGATAAACCATCCAGTGAGTTTGACCACCCATGTATATGATGTACCATAATTGGAAAGTGTCTGAAAAATTGAGAAAATGAAATGCTAACCACATACTTTATGCAGATTGGAAATACAACAGCAGTCTATAAAAACAGCTTGTTCCATATCTCGGCATTCATTCAGATAGATATTACATGTTTAAATAATGTGTCTGTATGAATAATCAAGCATCATAAGTATTATGTGTTTAAAACACTTATTTTTCAAAATATAAATCAAATGTTTATAAACTTGTATGAATGCGATATCATGAGACTTTATTTTTTGAAATCTTAGAAATACAGAAATTTTCAATACCAAAACAAAAATTTACCTGTTCATTGGTGTCCTTACATATTAATTGACCTTCGTAGTTCATGGTGAGCTTAGAAAGTGGGTATTCATGGATGAAAGTATTGTTGCATATGGTGAAAGCACCCTAAAATTTCAATGTGAAAGTTGTACATGTACACACTGGTACATAGATACTGAAAACAACTATCCATTATTATGACAACTTTTATTTTACTTTGAACTTACGAGTGATTGTCAAAAGCATCAAGGTTCAAAAACAATGCAAAATTGGCTGAACGATACGAAACACGCACACTGAAACATAAAGATCTAGTACATGTGTACATTTAGTTTTCTTTTGAACGTGAACTAATGCGTTTTAAACTTAAACTTTTCAGTCAATATACACGTATTCTCACCTGCTAATACCAAAGGCATGTCCGTATTATTTGATTCATTGATGTGAGGATCTTCGTCGTGAAATAATCATGAAAATTGACGTTCAGATTTCAGATCATGTTTTTGTTTACAGCTATCACAGCGGAAACACGTGTTTATTTCAATTCGTATCAACTCATACGGTGATGAGTCGTATTTATTTATAAATACGAGTTTTTGTATTGTTAAATATAGATCTAATTAAATTGCAAATTAATAAGTATACAGTATAACAAGATACAACAATATTAAAAATCTGATTGATTTTTCTTAGTAAAGACCGACGTTTTGGAAATCTACAATTTTTATCAATATTGTATATCACTTCATGAAAAATACATCATTAGGGCCCACATGTAGATGAATAAATTAACATTCACTGAACACAAAAGGCAGAACGAAATTATAATTTGTTTTTTGAAATCTTTTTTTTTTTTTTTTTTGAAATATATATCATAACACTATTATATACTTTTTTCTCTAAGTATTATGCATTTATTTCAGTAAAAAATATATTTAAATGGTCAAAAAAGTCTTATAAAAGAATTTGTTGTTTCGAGTAAGACGCAACAATATCGACCTTGACGTTACATGTAAATATTGACCGATTTTTCCATAAAAACTATGCGAAGGTCACAAATTCAAATTATCGTAATTAAGAAAATACTGAGCGTAAGAAGGCCTATAAGGGCTTGTTGGAAAGGAAATTTTCTCTACTTTTACCAGCTTTATTTTGTTTTCCCTATTTCAACACAGAAATAAACGTAAAACTGAGCTTTGTTTAAATATTACGAATAAAATCGAGAAAAAACACATAAGTGCAAGAAAATCTTGTTTTTAAAATATACCTTAAAGTAATAACAATAATTTTTACATATTTTAAAAGTAGAGAATATATGCTTTAAGAATATACCATGCTTTCTTATAAAGTTAATCAGGAAAAAAATTGTCAATCGTCTGGAAAATCGGCAATCGCTTTGGAAAATTACGCCATCTTCAAAAAGTCTCGTTTGTCTTTACAACGTAAAATCGATTAAATACCGGCAATCAAGATATAATCTTTTTAGATATTTTAAAAGTAGAGAAAATTTCCAAAAAGATGATATATAGCTTATATAC